AAATGATACAACCTAAAACAAGAATGAGCCTGGTCCACTACCAGTGTGCAATACAACGCACGAGCCGTTATCCCTGAGACGTAGCGATGCTGAGATGCTCGCCTGTTCGGTTGCCCGCTTGGGACAGTCTCCCTATATTCAATTCCCTCCACCCATAGGGCTACCCCTGTGAGCTAATGGAAACACCGCCATTCTAGGGGCGGCTCTGTACCTACTTGTTGCAATAGCCTACCAACTGATAGCATCCCAAACCCAACCGGCCACTTGGCTTACAGAGTGCCGTGAAACACTCCCACACTCCCGAGTGCGGGAGTCGAACCCACGACCAACTCATTTGCAGGCAAGTGCCTAACCACTCGACTGTTCAGAATGGGACCACACGCTACTTACCTGAAAATATCGCGTACGCAAATTATCGCATTCATGGCTCAAGATCCTCATGTTTTAGATAATAATAGCAACTATATGGAACTAAACTAGAATATTAAGGAGTGTACTTTCTTTATTCAATTGGGACTGATTCTTTTACATTTTTACATCATGTGGTGGACGTTAAAAGGGCAGCCACCTTGAAGGTGCATCCCGCCTTAATTTGCTATCTGGCGACTCCTGAACGGACTCCTGTTGAAGCACTGTTGACAACTACAACAAACCACCAGCGGTTACGTTGGACGTAAGATATATTGTATCAGAACCAGGGGAGGTATTATCACCCGAGATATCACCAGTAGAAGTAGCTTAATTCTCTGCTGAGTTTCTAGACATGTGCTACCCTGTACACTGCCAGCTGTCGACGCTGTCGACTCTCACTTAGAAGCTGTACAGTACAGGTCTCAATATATACACGATTGAAGACTACTGTAAGACTTTTTTCTTCTCTACATATGTAATGTTAGAACGAACAACCTCTTGGAAAGCCTGTATTTGGCGTTGCAACGGAGAAGTAGTTGATAACAGGGTTTGGGTAAAGAGAGTGAGAGAGTGCGCCCACTCCCAAGGTCGGATGTACCTACGCAGTCAGCTTTGGGTCCCTGCGCGGCTTCATTCTACCAGGAAAATCGCGTAAGTGATGGTACATTCCTGAACTATCATTCGATTGGTATTGTGTGGTACCGCAACTTCCGTTCACGAGAGAATCTATAGTGCGCGTGAGGATAGCCCGAATCAACGTGCAATACTGGGGCGTCGCCAGCGGTGTGGTACCAATTCTCACTGTTACATTTCAATGATTTGGCGAGACTATGCTAACGGGAGGGCGGGCATCTGAGACGCGATTGGTGCAGCCGGATAAATCTGTACTCCTTGCTATGCAGAAGCATATTCTGAAACAATACCGTCTGATAGGCACACACAATAAAACATGGCCTATCCATACTTGAAGACTTGCCCGAGAATGTCTACGCATAGGTGGGAACCTACAGATTCGCCACTTTGATATCTCCACACTTCCGCGGTATTCCGCCTCGATTGGGGGTGTTGATTACTCGAGTACTTGAATATGATTGGTGCACGACATTGCAGCTCAACTGTTCTCATATCTCCGCAAATACAGCGACACAGAAGGACTTGGAAACAGACAATTATATATGTCCTCTTCCATCACAACAGCCCGTATCTGTAGCGTATTCCGTAGGTATGTATGAGAAAAAAAACTGTGAGTTCTTTGAGATTATATTATGGCGGTGGATCACGATAGACCTTTGTCAAAACTGTAGTGTATCCCGCTAACAGTGTTCTATTCTATAGCGAGAGCATCAGAAACATTAAAGTATGATTAAGTATAGGCACAAATAGAACATTGGTAGAACAAACGAGAATATGTAGACTTTAACCTAAAAATGCACACATGGAAGTACCTACCTTTGAAGCTAGACCTCGCTCGTGCAAAATTGCCTGTCTATATATAGACGCGGCTACTTTCTCATCAGGCACACCCACCTGGAATAGACAGAAATATGAATGAGAAAAGGGATGGAAAAGTATAAAATATATCAAAATTTCATTTAGAAATTAGGCTGTTCCTAAAGGATTCGATCGCTTTGAGATGCATCGGCGCGTTTCCGTTGACCATATAGTCCCAGGGATAAGAGACATTGAAGCCGTTTACGAACAAAATATCATCTCACCACTTTCTCTCCATTGAGTTCTAGCAGCGCCACATTGCCTTCCTTACAGATCAGCACGCCATTCTGCACGAACACTCCGCAATCTTCATACCTGTAGTCACACAACCAACACCCAGAGTTTCGTAGAGTAGTGAGCGAAGTGTATATGTAGCACGCTCAAATGAAAAGTGGAAAGGGCATTGAGAGCGACACGTTGCAGGCACGGTTCCTCCCACTAGAAAAGCACAAGTATCGCATATGACATTTGCATGTGCATAGGTGCGTGCGGATGTCTTCCAAAGCATAAAGGCACTTGCATAAGTATGGCTTGACAATCAATCCTGAAGAAAAGGCGGCCTGCGATGAGGCAACCAATGATCAGATATTTGTCTCATAAGTAGGAGAAAACACGTAAGGTGATAAACTTCTAAACTGTTGCTGAGTCTCAAGTAGGTAATCTCTGATGAAATCATCGTGATAGTAGTTTCATAGCGTATGGCAATAGGCGTCTTGGAGCAGTACAACATGACTTTACACACACTACTGCTATAAGACATACATCAATCGCAACTGCCCATAGTAACGGTTCTAAATTGTCCACAGACAACATCGAAACCAATCTCTCTGCGATAACGCGTCAACGAGTGATAAATACTAGTACCTGTTATGCCAGGGTTTGCTCGATTTCAGTTACATCTTCATTCTGCACCCCCACGCACACCATAAGTATGTGTATGGCTGAATATTGACCAAAGCAAAAATATACCACCGCGTACGCTTACAACGGCACGCAAGAGTTCCGCCGATGCGACGCAAATAAATAGAGATGCCATCTACCGCAATTACCAGCAAGATCTAGTGTGCACAGGGATAAAGTTTCTATCTCTATGATAGCTGATGTACTGGCGTATACTGAATCTAGCCTATGCATACTACACACTGCATACGAGTCAATATACACATGTCATCATTCGAATCGATGCACATGCATACGTGCGTGGTACTTTAAATATACAGATGTGCCTAAGAACTTCAATGAAGCATGTGCGACAATGATATATACATGCATACACTACATACATGCTTCCGCCACTCCGGCAACAGGAGAAGTAGCAACTCGCCAATTTCCGGTGCACGCTGACAAACACGGACACCTTCTGCATAATTCGGCCACTCTTGCTCTCATCGCTTTCGATATTAGTCACTACAAGACCTTTGAACACGCTGCCGTTGCGCAAGCTGCCCAGAGTGGTGCTCGTCGCCGCGAGACTCGCGCTGGCCTACCAAACCGTATATGATATGAGAAAACATACCAATATGACATTAATGATAGTAAGGGCCTCTATCCGTGAGGATATAAGAAAACAAACCAGTATGACAATAATAGTAGGAGGGCGCTCTATTCGTGAAGATTTGCTTCCCACAGAGACTCGCATATGCAAAGAATACCTATCGAAGATGTAGTTACTGATACAAGGTGCCACACTGCTTCTGTACAGCCTAGCTATGCAAAAACTCCATCTCCTATGCGATGCTTCCGCTGAGGTTGGCGTGAAGGCGTGAAGCACCGGATTATCTCAATGTACACAAATAATCAACGACCTCTCGTCTAATCCACCGATTTATCCGGGAAGCAGGCCTGTATACTATCGCCATGCATCGTACGCTATCAATAAAACAAACCCCACACATAAGAACATACAGCCCGGAAAGCAAACCTGAACCCGGTGTGTTGACAATTCTCCTATCCGATTGACAGCCGTGGAGTTAGTTCCAGTCAGTTCGATACCTTCCCTGCCCTCCATCGCCTCGCCTGTGGAACCAGTGGAGGGGTTCAGCAGACTTTCAGTGGTATCAGTACCGTCAGTACCACTGGCTGTGGGCTCGTGCTGCGGTTGCTGTTGAGTTTCTTGGGTTTCCTGGATTTCTTGCGGTTCTTCGGGTTTGGGCCGTTCGTTGACTTCTGCGAAGGAGATGCCTACGAGACGACAGAAAGGCCGCCTCCTGTGCGGTGGTATATTGAAAAGGTAAGAGCTTTGTGGGGATGCTGACTTTGACCCACGTGACAGATATTTTGTGCGTCGGTTCAAGCTATTGGTTATCATGCTAATGACAAATTAATAGACAGGAGTTTCACAACTGATGTATGTGTTCCACTGTCCCTACTGATACCAATTCACATCGCCCCTATGTTGCGTTTCACCGCCTTGTTGTATGGTACTTGAAGATGACAAGAATATTGTAATGACTCATACGAGATGACCAGGCGCAAATGCAAAAGCCGTCGCAAACATGACGGTCATATTGCAGAAACAACCGCACGTTATTTCCCAATAGAACCATACTAGACACATCGTCAATAACCTGTTAAACGATATACATTTTGCTGGCGCTAGTGATCAAATGGTGCAACTCGCATTTCTATTTACGCTCATATCCTTATGTGTTCGCCTTCGCCTTCATTGCATCTACTCGGGCTTCATAATGCGCATGCAAGGCTTAATATCGCTACACAATCACTCCCGCAGTATACTTGGCATGGAAGTGAACAGATCATAGTGGGTTACCTGATATGCATCGTATGTTTGGTTTTCTTGGCCAAGTTTTGCTCCTGTTGGATCTCTTGAAGTACAACCCAAGGGTCTACACCCGACACACTGATACCATCCCAGGAGAGCACTTCGTCACCCATTTTCAACCCCGCCTTTGCACACGGCGCTGAATGCCGGACAGCCGACACAAGCAGGTGGGAAGACTTGAATATACCCAGGCCGAAGCCTAGAGATCCCTGGATGACGATGAGACAAAATAGAAGAGAAATTTGTGGGAGCTATAAAAAAAAAAATGACACCAAGAGTACTGCGATACCACTACAATAGAATAGCCCTCCAGCAATACACAGGGCACGTACACAAACAGATCTACGTCAATCGAAACTTTATGCATCTGTCGTTAAACAATACAAGTATATTAATGTATGTATAGATCCTAAATAA